TTTATGAAATTAATTGTTAAATTTCAAATTTTGAAAAATATCTTGAACACTTCTTAAGATTTCTTGAAAAATCTTGATAACTTCTTAATTCTTGGATTTTTGTGTGTATATTTTCAATATTTCTTTCTAGTAATCATTGATTAACTGCAGTATTTGTTGATTATGTTATAAAGTATTGTTACTGATTGTGTACAAAGTGGGTCAACGTTGTTAATTGTTGTTTGTTGTCGATACGAACTGCGCACAGTGTCTATACGTTCTCTCGTTTTTTTGTGTTTTGTTTACCTGTTTACATGGATCAATGTTAATACTCTGCGTAATCTGATCTTAAATTCGATAATTCCATTTCGCCATATGGCGCGCGGACGAAAACAATTGTTTCCGAAATTAATTGGATCAATTTGCCAACGAGCTCTGACTAATTCCTACCAAACAAAACACGTTTGTTCCGTTCTATTTTTTTTTGTTATTATTACGTATACTTTCGTTCGTAATGTGTTTTCATCTGCTTTAACTTTGATAAAAATAAATCTGAATGTAGTAAATATTTTGACTACGGAAATTGAATAATTTTCAGTGGAATTGAACGTCTGCATCGTGATCGCATCCTGAAAGAATGTTATTATCTGAAACGGATTTAAACTTTGAACTGAAACGATTTCGATTGAAATGAAAACTGAAATAATATTTTTGTCTAGAGCGGATTTCGTTTTTTTTTTCCTAAATCTGATTCGAGTGAAATGGAAACTGTTGAATATCCTGAAAGAATATTGTTGTGTAGAGAAGAATTTATATCTGAAATCCAATTTGATTGTAACAAAATTGTAACTGTTGCAATAATAACATTCTTTCTGTATGAATGTTGTTATTTATAATGGATTTAAACTTTCCTGAAACTTTTTCAATAGAACTGAAAATGGTCCTGAAAGAAAATTGTTGTCTATAGCGTATTTAACTTTTTATAAATCCAATTTTCCTGAAATAATATTATAATATAATATATCTAAAGTAGAATTTATATCTGAAATCCAATTTGATTGAGTTGAAATTTGTAGATAATTACATTATTTCTGGATGAATGTTATTATTTATAACGGATTTAAACTTTCCTGAAACTTTTTCAAAAGAAATGAAAATAGTCCTGAAAGAAAATTGTTATCTACAGCGTATTTAACTTTTTATAAATCCAATTTTCCTAAAATAATGTTATTATTTACAGCTGATTTAACCTTTCTTGAAACCAATACAAATTAAATGAAAATTATTGAAAATTCTGAAAGAATGTTGTCTAGTGATCTAAATTTTTGTAATCGAATTGGAATGAAATCAAAACTGTTGCACATCCTGAAAGAATGTTATTATTTGTAGCTGATTTAACCTTTCCTGAAACCAATTCGAATAAAATGAAAACTGTTGCACATCCTGAAAGAATGTTATTGTCTAGAGCAGAATTTATATCTGAAATCCAATATTATTGTAACGAAATCATAACTGTTGCAATAATAACATTATTTCTGTATGAATTTTATTATTTATAACGGATTTAAATTTTACTGAAACTTTTTCAATAGAAATGAAAATGGTCCTGAAAAAAATTGTTATCTGCAGCGTATTTAACTTTTTATAAATCCAATTTTCCTGAAATAATGTTATTATTTACAGCTGATTTAACCTTTCTTGAAACCAATACAAATTAAATGAAAATTATTGAAAATTCTGAAAGAATGTTGTCTAGTGATCTAAATTTTTGTAATCGAATTGGAATGAAATCAAAACTGTTGCACATCCTGAAAGAATGTTATTATTTGTAACTGATTTAACCTTTCCTGAAACCAATTCGAATAAAATGAAAACTGTTGCACATACTGAAAGAATGTTATTGTCTAGAGCAAAATTTATATCTGAAATCCAATTTGATTCTAACGAAATTGTAACTGTTGCAATAAAAACATTCTTTCTGTATGAATGTTATTATCTATAACGGATTTAAACTTTCCTGAAACTTCTTCAATAAATATGAAAATGGTTACAAGTCCTGAAAGAAAATTGTTTTCTACAGCGTAATTCACTTTTTGTAAATCGAATTTTCCTGAAATAATGTTATTATTTACTTTTCTTCAAACCAATACAAATGAAATGAAAATTATTGAAAATTATTATCTATGAATGTTATTATCTATATCTTATTTAACCTTTCCTGAAACCAATTCGAATGAAATGAAAACTGTTTCACATTCTTAAATAACGTTGTTGTCCAAAGCAGTTATTTTGGGAATTGAATTCGAAAGAAATGAAAACTGTTGCACATCCTGAAAGAATGTTATTATCTACAGCTGATTTAACTTTTCCTGAAATCAATTTGAATGAAATGAAAACTGTTGCACATTCTTACAGAATATTATTATCCAGAGAAGTTATTTTAGGAATTGAATTCGAAAGAAATGAAAATTGTTGCACATCCTGAAAGAATGTTATTATCTACAGCTGATGTAACTTTTCCTGGAAAAGAATTTCCAATGAAATGAAAACTGTTGCTCATCCTGAAATAATGTTGATTTTTTTTTCTAAATCCAATATGAAAGAAACGTTTTGTCTGCTTCAATAATTTTATTTGTATGGCGAAAAAGCTACTTTTCTCCGTAGAAATGAGGAGCAGTAAACACACTTTCGCAGAAATCGAATTTCCATTACCGCACGCAATTTATTTGGTTCGACGTTCGATTCGCCTATTTCAAATAGAAATAAATTGACGTATGCAAAAATACTTTATAAAGCTTTCCCTGCTGTACACTTTTCTATTACATTTACACATCGCAACTCAATTTCAATAGTATTTCTTTAATTACAGAAATTTTTATTTTTTTTATTATAAAAAAAATACTACAAAAGTGATGATCTCAAGATGTGCGAGGATAATTAAAGATGTAATAAAATGGTTTCTAAGTTATAGTAGTAAAACGATTAAGAGGAGAAAGGTTTTGTCCCAACAAACAGTAAAAACGTCCTGAAAGTTGTATGAAGAATTTACGAGTTAACACCATCTGTCCTTCCTGAGACAAAGGGTCTAGGATATATTAGAGGACAAGGATTTGGGTCAAGAATACTTTTTTATATGAAAATCTTATCCTTCTACAACTAATCCAGATTCTCCTCATTTATTTTTAATTAAAAAAATCATAAGTATCGATTTTTACTCATAACTAATTAATATGTAATTATTAATTATCCATTAACCAAATTAAACTGACAAAATCGATATTATTAACGTATATAACGTATATTAACGTAATAAGTTTAAAAACAAATTTTTTATTTTCCAATTTAATTTTGAACTGAAACTTCAATTTGCCTCCCAAACCAAGAACACTTTATAATTAGTTTTCTTCTTTCTTTTCGTAAAAAAAAGATATAATTAAAATGAAATGGAATTATTAATGAGTAAATAAATAATTTCTTTGTAAAACTTGAGACAAAAATAATGGGGATAAATGTAATATGAAAAAAAAATCGCAAGAAGTGAATTACGTAGGAAAGTTACGTAATGTAACATTATAAAATACGTGCCGGATTTCGGAAATTCGTAATGGAGCACATAAAACGTCGCCACCCCTCAGTTATGACTTATAAATCGCATTTTTTATCCCCCAAAAAGCTAAAGTTGATATGTTTACTGCAGTTTCTATAAGGAATCATTTTCATCCTGGTTTATGACTACAATTTCTGAAGCTAGAAAGTATTTGAGTAAATAAAACTATAAATAAGTAATATTATTCTTATTAGACTATATCAATTGATTTAACTGATCTTAAGAAAAAATATTTTTGAAACAAACAATAAATAAAAATTGAAAGTTTTTGTAGTGTATAATCAAATAAAAACTTAACAGAATTTAATGGTTTTTAATGTTATATAATACAATTTGCAGAATTGCCAAATTAGAACAAATGTATTGACTATCTTGATTGTATTTCTCAAACAATAGTCCATCTTTTCTTACGAAATTGTGTTCTAAACATGGGACTTGCTGAATGAGCGGACGACTCCTAGTTTATATGCATTCACTGGAATAGAGTGGAATGGAAACAGCTCGTGCTCGGTAAGTCGTACATTCAAATATACAATGGAACTCCGCTAACTCTAGCTCGAAATAGAACGATTTCGCTACGAAAATAAGATATGTCTAGTATACGTTGCGTCACAACAAGTTATTATGGATTTTTTCCATCCTTCTTGCAAAGTAAACCAATGTTTTAATGCAAAGATATTGTAGTTAATCTGGAATACAGAAAACTTTAAATTGGATCTATGCCCGTCTACATCAATTTCAAATTAAATATGCGAAGAGATAACGAAAGGTGAAAGGGCTTTCAATAACTTTGATGTCAATGCAGGTTTTTTTTTTAAATCAATGTAAATTTTTATTTTTTTATTAAAATTTTTAATTAAGTAATCAAAACAGTTTCGTTAATGAATTTCTAATAAAAACACAGTTTTCAGAGTGTAATTTAAAATAATTAATTATATATTATTATTCTAAGTGGAGATAATAGAAGCAAGGGTTTTTTTTTTGGTGAATGAAACAATTATTATTATCTGCGTTTTTCGCTGTTTGAACAGGATGAGTTTCATATGGTGCGTCCAATTTTGGTATATGTATATTTATATATTGTTTCTTTATTTGTTTATAATTCATCATGTGGGTGTTTTATCTGCCTACGTGATTTGGATCAATATCATACTCATAATCATAAAATTATATAATGTCATAATTTACGTTCATAGTAGTTAAAAGTTAATTGATTTTTGGGTTTTATCTTAATTAGTGCTGTAAAGCTATGGGTTTGGATCGCGTCAAATTTTAAAATGAGTCACAAATTGACAGCTGTCACCTTGCACCAAAGTGTCAATCCTAACCTATATACGTCACAACTAGCACCAAAACGTCAATAGAATATTGTAATGTATTGTGTACAGATTAATTTAAAGCTGTATTGACTTACCAAGTGGTTTGTAACAGGATACGAGAAAGCCGTTCCCAAGAATGATAGCGACAGCGCCGAGGATGGCCTGAGGGAATTCAGTGAGTAGGAAAAGCAGAAGTACTGCGAGTAACATCCTTGTAGTCCTATCAGCCTGTTGCTCCTTTTCCAAGTTTCTCTGTTTCTTCGTCTCCCCATTAACCAAAGGCATTCCGCTGCTCTTGCAAAGATCCTTGTAACGGTTCTTCGCGTTTAAAATAGCCTTGATCAGGAAAGTAGAGAGAACGGTGAGGAAAACACACGGCAGCAACTTAATGATGACGCTATAGAACAGCATGTTCAATTGCCAATACTTGTCCTTGACGGCGACCGTGTAGATGGTGGTGTTCCTCACGGCCTCCGTTATATTGATCATATTATAGGGAATCAAATTGCCGTTCGTATCGATTCCTTTGGGAAGACTTTGGATCGTGAGGTTTATGATTACCGGAGTGCAAACCAAAGGACACAGGATGTAGGACATCGCGATTGCGAATTTGGTGCGACCTGCACTGCACAAGACTTTATTCTCCTGAGGATGCTTTATAGCTATGTACCTCCAGACGGCTAAGAGAACTGTGAGACAGCAGGAAATGAAGTGGCAGATTTGCGAGAAGACCGCGTGGAAGTAGAGGAAATAGGCTTTGGCTTTAGTGAAGTTTTCGGGTTTTTGTAGGATTGGGTGGAGGTAGACGGAAAGGGCGAACGGAAGGTACTCGAGCATGACCAGAAGATCGGCTACAGCTAATCCGGTGAGGATGAAGTTCGTCGGTATCCGCATGTTCTTCGTTGTTAATACGCAAATGTTAAGCACGTTAGCTACAGATCCGAAGATGCACACCATCAAGCTTAAGTAGAGATGGACGTTGATGCAGCTCAGCTCGAAATCTTTGAGGTTACAGTAAGTCTCGTTGTTCGTCATCGCTTTGCTCCCATTCATCTTGAAACCTCTGAAAATAGAAACGTCATAAATATTTAAAATCCTTTAGACCAATGCATTCAAAGGCTTTTGCGCATTCACAACAGTTATGATGACTTCGTGTAAATAAATACTGATTCAATTTTAGTCGAACATACATACATACACAACTCAACAACTGAATGAGTTTATGTTTTGTAATCCTTTAAAATCCTTCATTGAGATACCAATTTTTATAAATATCCAAGAGTTTCTTATCAAGGACGAACGCACTGGAAATAACGCGTGAAAGTTACAATTTTTGGACTGATATTGCGAAAATAGAAGTGAAATAAAGCAGAAAAATACTCAACATTTCCTATTTATTTACACGATTTTCATTCAAGATTTATTATGCGTTGAGGTTATTATGGCTTCCCAAACGTGTTTCCTCCAACACTTTATATAACATATTGAATGTTTGAAATACACAACATCCTACAGAATATTGTAGTAATCCCAGTAATCAATAAAAATCAACTTCAAAACATTGCAAATTTCATTAATTTTTAAACTAAAATCACTAAAACTTTAAGGAAATGAAAAATTTAGCAAATAGTAAAAAAATCCAGTAATTTATTGGAATTAATAATGCTTTAAATTTGCACTGAAAGTTTCATTAAATTTTCATGAAAAATGAAGACGTCTATATTTGCAAGCGCCTCTACGAGATTAGGTAATGAACGCATCTTTTTTTTCTTCAAATATTTACACAGATCGATGATATAAATACACAGGAGAATAAATAATTGGCAAGTGAACTGGCGCCATAAACATAAAATTAGCGCTGAACCCGAGAGAAAACCCACTGAATTTTTAACAAATTTCGTAATTTACTGTTTGCAACATCTGTAGAATTACGTAATCGATATTTCTAAGAGGAATAAATATATTTGAAGATACAAGGAAAAAAAAATAGTTACGTTTTACTTAAGAAAAAAAAATAATGAATATAAACATTTATACCAGTAAAGTATACGTTTCGTTTTACTAAGAAAATAAAACAGATATATTTATAAATATAATCTTTTCATGTAGTTTCGTTTCTTTTTAAACGCAAAGATCAATCACCGATTGAATGTAAACAGAAGCGGTAAAGAAAGAAAAAGAGTACTAATTTTATCGTTTGATCGATTAGTTGTTGATTGATTGATTGATTTTCTTTAAAAACTTAATCAATTCTAGTCGAAATCGAATACATGTTCTCAGCAGTGAATGCAAATCTACTAATTGCATCATGGTGCAGTCAAAGGAGATCTCAATTTGATCGAAACTTCAGGAATTCAGTGTAAACACAATCAGCAACTGCGGTGATTTGTATCTCCTCTTCCAAATACGATTAACAATGCAGAGAAGGCTTTAATGATCACAGTACAAATAGGATAAATCTCTAAAAGAAAACAGTAATTTAATAGAAATCTACATTATTATTGTTAGAAATAATGGTGTTTCTTATCTTTGCAGCTTCAACTAAAACTCTTTTATTTCGCAGGTGTTCAATTAATACGCAGGTGTTTTCTTATATTTGCAGGTGTAACTAAAACGCAGGTGTCTTCTTATCTTCGCAGCTGCAACTAAAACGCAGGTGTTTTCTTATCTTTGCAGCTTCAACTAAAACACTTTTATTTCGCAGGTGTTCAATTAATACGCAGGTGTTTTCTTATCTTTGCAGCTGCAACTAAATCGCAGGTGTTTTCTTATCTTGCAGCTGCAACTAAAACTTTGTTATTTCGCAAGTGTTCAATTATTACCAGGTGTTTTCTTATATTTGCAGGTGTGACTAAAACGCAGGTGTTTTCTTATCTTTGCAGCTGCAACTAAATCGCAGGT